GCAAATTGTGAATAAAATATCTGCTGTTATGGGACGTGTGTATTGACAAAAATAGAAGAAAGGCAGAAAAACAGGACAGTAAAGTCCAACCATCATCAAACAAAAGACCAATTAATAGAGACCTTCAAAGCAAGAGAATTCACACCTATCTTTAGCCATATCTTACAATGAATATTACAAGAAATAGACTATGACACTGATCTCAGCTACCAATAAGAAAAAGTGTCTCAAGTTGTGTAAGGAATGCAGACATTGGACTAATGAGGACTGGCAAAAAGTTATGTGATCTGATGGATCATGTTTTATCTTTTCTGCATGGATGGTAGCAGACAGATTTTTAGAAAGCCACTTAAATCACTTGACTCTTCTTGTGTAGTTCCAAGTGTCCAGATTGGAAGAGGATTGGTTTGGAGAATGTTTTCCTGGCATACCCTGGTCCCCTTTGTCACTGTAGAAGGAAAAATTACATATACAGCTTACCTCAACATCACGTCTCAACAAGTGCATTGGGTGATGCTTCATGTGTACCCCAATGGAGATGGTTACAGACATCTCCCATGGTCACAACAATCCCCAGATCTCAATCCAGTTGAGCATCTCTGGGATGAACTTGGAAGATACATTTGTTATCGTGAACTTCTGCCTATCTCATTCCATGAATTGCAGAGAGTATTACCATCACCTTATGGATTTTATGTCACATTGTGTCATGGCTGTTATTCAGATAAAAGGTGGCTCAACCTATTATCAGGTAAAAGTCATAATAAATTGGCCAGTCAGTGTACAAATCCATGTAGATGTGATGAACAGTTTCCCCCCAGATTAGATTTGCCACAGTATTCATAAGAATATGTGGGGTGATTTAGGTCTACATTGGTTGACACACATAAATTTGTGCATCATTAGTTAGGTAAGGCTGCTACAGTACAAAAGAGATACCATAATGAAGCAGTGAGAAAACAAACATTTGAGCATGGAGATCAGGTGTTGCTTTGGTACAAGCCAATAGAATGTAAGCAATTCATTTCTAGTTGCACTGTTCCATATCTCGTTCTCAGATAATTCTGTCAATTAAACTATGAGCAATAGCACTCAGGTGGCCTTTGCAAGTTCACTGAGCAAATTCATAAGCTAATGCCATAAGTCACTGGTGAACCTTTCATAAACTGATTAGCTCAAGAAACAGAGATACATAGAGATTGATGAGTCAGAGGATACCAAAAGTACTGGTTTGAATGATTTTGATTCAGCTTATGAGAAGAAGTATGCTAAAAGTACTTATCTAGCTGTCTAATATGAGACAGAAGAGAAACCGCCGGAGGAACTGTATAACAGCTCTGATGATCGATGGAGAGTCCAATGCTACTTCCTGATCATTCATGCTGGGATTACGTACCTGAACAGTTGTTAGGGTGGTGGAGTAATTGGTAGAGTAACGTTTAGCCTTGTAACCTATATTTTTTGAGATATAGAGTAGTGTTTCACAGAAAAATGTCTACAGAACACTGCATGACAGCCACTTGATTATTATATATGAAGGACCACTGGTGTTAGTGATCATAATACCTACAAATCAGAAAGGGATTCTCTTCCTTGCTTTCCTTGCACCCGGAGGAATTTTTGTGATGAGCTTTGGTAGAATGTTTACACAAGAAACTATCTAAGTGCATATGTGTGTACGTCAACGTAATTTGAAGTAGTATCTACACAAAAGTTCATAAATTTGATTATGTGAAACCTTGTATTTTACATTTAGATGCACAGTGAAGGGGTCGTACCTTTCATCAGCAAAGGATATAAATTAGTGTGTGATAAAGTGTGGCAAAAAGTTTTTGTTTTATTGTATTTTAGCTCGATTTATTTTCATGTGCTGCTAACTGTAGTGACCTTTGAAAGGTGGCACAAAAGCAGCCGAGAACAGTTATTAATTTTACTGTTAGACGTATACTCATTCTATATCGATTTTAGTGTATTTTGGCTTATACTGTAGTGGACAACTCGAATATTTTTTTAAGGTATGAGGATTTTAGTTGAAAAATCTCAGGTCAGTTACATTTTGCTTGTATTTATTTATCTCATGGTATTGTGAGAAAATTTAATATGTTGGCTCCTAGATGACAGTGCAGTAAAGGATAAGAATGGCTTTTTCAAATATAAGCATTCGAAGCAGCAGCTTTCATTATCATGGTTCCATAAAACACTGGGCAGCCCCTGAGAGAAACTATGAGTAAATATTATACTTGACGTCAATATATATACTTATATTCTGTTATGCACATGTAATTATACGTGTGCAGTGTTAGACATGTATACGGACATTACACGTGATTGTTTTTTCGTGTATTCTTAATTGTATTGTTACGTCTCCGTTCGTTAATTAATTTTCCGTAAATTCGTTCCGACGAAACTTTAGCGACACAAGTCCTTTCTTAAATAAAACTGGTTTATTCTTTCCGAATACAACTTTACGATACACTTAAGTTCCAAAGTCGCTCTATAACAAACACTATAATTCACGTCTTACGTGGCCAACAATATTTTGTCCGCATACATTCAATTACTCATTACTTTGCTGTTCCGTCACGTTGTGAACGTCTTATATATACAAGACTAACACACATATAGTAAATGCTAGGGCATTCTTGAAGGAACAGGATATTTCTAGAAACAGGTGGCGTGATACTAGTCACGTGACTTCGCTGACGCAATACTGCCCCCTCCTTAGTATTGTTCGGGACGAACAATAGCCACTTACAATAAACCAATAACAATTAACAATAACTTAATTAAATGTACAGAATTACAAACACAAAATTACAATTCAATAAAGTACTCTTAATTTTACAGGACGTATCTTTATCC